CCCCTCTAATCCCCCCCTGGTATCTACTACAGTATATTTTTACAGTATCTACTACAGTTTATTATAATACAGTATATTATTACAGTATCTACTTCAGCATTTTTTCAGTATCTACTTCAGTACATTAGTAGGATCTACTGCCGTGAGCTAGACGTACAGCTCTCCAGTACAGTACTTCAGCTTCGTACATAATCCGGCATGGTAAGGACAACAGCTCCTGAAGCCTGAAAAAAATCTGCGTTTAAAAAAAATAAATAGGTTTTAACTATCTTTTTCAAGACTGAAACACAACGGTATTGCCATTTAAAACAATCTTTAATACAGATTGAATTAAATATAGAATTTGCAAATTTGGTTTCATAGGAATAGAAACAGGTCTAGAGAAAGATGTTAGCAATGGTATAATTTCAAGCTAGAAAATTGAAGATTTCCTCCACACTACGAATCAGAAACTAGGTTTAAAGGTTGTGAATATGCATACCCTCTTAAAATGGACTTCTACAAGATATTAAACGACAATTACTCGTGTTTGTAAGTATGTTTTACCGCAATTTTTATAATCAATGATAGATTCTGAGAAAACCTTTTTTTGAAACTCGTTAAAATTGGTTAAAAATGTCAGAATTAAAGTAAAAAAGTCAAGTCTTCTCCTTCAGTTGATTTCATTAAAAACAAGATTTTCAAAATTAACTGAAAATTCTGATAAAAAAATGGATAAACATGAGAAGTGCTTGTATTTGGTTTGGGGCTTTTCCGTTTAGATAATTTCACAAGGTGTTAACAAACAATAATAAGTTAAATGACTCTTAAAAGTTTGTTAAAAAGAAATTTTTCGTGCAAAGCCCTATACCTGATATACTTCTGGAGGATATTTTTTTCAAGTTTCAAAAGTTCTTCATGTTTTGCGTTGGAGTGACATTCTTTTCTCAGATCTTTTAAACGTGCCCAGACCTCCTGAATCTCAGAAATACGCAGTTCCCTGGTAAAATTAGCTTTAGAGTTAGATTTATCTTTCTAATTATAAAACTTATAAACGTTACAAAATGGTTAAAAAATCCTTCAGACAAAACAAACTTATCTTAACAGATGTGAAATGATAAACTTGTTTAAAATATTTGTTGACGCGCATTTTTTAGTATAATACAAGTTCTTATCCCCAGATGTGTTTAAATGAATATTATTTTACTGTATTAAAAAGAAAATCCTGATCTGATTTCGTGCTGAAAATCGTGAAAACCACGTTTTAAGAATTTATTTTACTAATTTGGGGATTTCTCTTTTACCAACCAGAACAGGATGGAACAAAGTGGAGTTAAAACTGAATTCGAACACTTTGAAAAGTTGGTGTTCACTGTTTACACCGATGACTGTACAAAAATCTGAGAAGTTGGTCAAGTCAAGTCAAGATTTCAAACCTTTCATTAAAGTAAACCTTTAGAGAAGAAAAAATATTATATTTTGTCAGACTTCACATATTTTTAAGCGTAATTTTGAGGGGCAACTACATGCAAAGCTGTATCTCGATTAACAACAATACCCTGAAACCTTTATCTTATCAAAAATTTAGATGAAAATATCAAAAAGTTATTGATTCTGATCACTTGTCTATTGCTTCTTACAAGCAAGAAATACGGAAGTCACTTTAGCAAAGAAACCACACAAAAATATTAACCCTATTCCTGGTGGGGGGGGGGAGGGGTCAATTTGACCCCCCCCTGTAGTTTTTTTTACATAACTCAAAAGTATTGATCTGAGGCTGTTGAAATTTTCTGACTTTTCCTACATACCCAAAGCCCTCCCTTTAGGCCTAAAACCGGGCTTTAATACTAACTGCCTGAGTCCTCAGGCACACTGCCTGAATGACTGCTTTTTCCTGTAACAAACTAAATCTTTGTTTTGACCCACTTCCACTTGTCAGATTTTGATAAAATTTAGCTTTTTGGAAAGCCTTTGACATAAGGAAACGAATAGCACAAGTTTTGCGAAAAAAATTGCAAATTTTTTCCAAACAACCTGCCAAAAATAATTTGCACATTTTTAGTTTTTCTTAATTAAAAATCAGGTTATTTAAAATTTCGCTAAAATTTTTGCATAATTGAAATGGCATGGTCAAGGGCTTTTCAAAAATGTATAATTTTTCATTTTTTGGACAACTTTTTTTTGCAAACATTTTTACAACATAACTGGATTTTGCAATAAAAAATTTAATTTTTGCAAATTTCCAATTTTTTTGCAGATTCTAAAAGTAGAGCACAAGAGCTTTCCAATGATGTATCATTTGTCATATTTGGACATCAAACATGGGATTTAGAAGGGGGGTCAAATTGCCCCCCCCCCCCCAGCATATCCTGGTTTTCAAGTACCCCAGCAGAGATAGGGTTAAAAAAGATGATTTACTATTTAATACTTGATTCAAAGCTTTAAGGGTATAAAAGCCCAAATTTATCGGCTAAAAGACAATGCTTAACATTAAGCAGGCCATGTAACATGTTTTACATCCAGTTGTTAAATTACCTGTCCATTTTCTTGGAGCAAAGTCTACACGAGTGTTCGGTAACTATCCCAGAACATTCTTTCCTCTCACATCTAATAATTCAATACAGTGTTAATCATAAAACAGTAGAATAATTATCGCCTTTGTTTTTAAAAATTCGAACTGAGAAATGTTCAAATAAGTTTATCATATTTTTATGAACAGAAATTCGACAATGAATTTTCTGAATAAACAGAAAAAGACGCGACAACAAAGTATATTGAAGAGTTGTTGAAGTGTGTACTGTGTAGCGTGTACGCATACTACTCTTTAAACTTCGAGGGATCCCCCATACAAAAGGTGTCATGTCCGATTCACTTAACGATACCCTGAAAAGCTTTGTCAGATCAAGAATGAATAAAATAATTATGATTTCTTTTAGAAAGATTGTGATTTTCTTTAAAAATGACTTGTGTATATCTTGCAAGAGAAATAATGTAGAAAACTACGACCCTTCGTTAACGATTGTTAACATATTTATCAATGACAATTTCTTTTCAAAAAAGATCGTTTCATAAAAAAAAATCGTATAAAAATGGTCGACAATCGTTTTATAAAAACAATTATTTTCAAAAACGATCGTTATTTGTTTTCTAAAAATTCAAAACAAGTGGGTCGTTTTTAAAGAATTACATATGCAATTCCCTTAAGTTATCTAAAAGATGATGTAAACCTAAGATGTGTTGGGATGGTGTCGGAATTTTGTATATTTGGCAGATTTTGTAAACACCCGGTACAGCTACAGTCAAACCTAAACAATTAAACTTTTAAATACAAGTTTGCTTTGAGACAATTTAAGGGAAAGGGGGGGGGGAACTTTGTATAGCGCACAATTTTTTACTGAAGCAAACCTGTGGGGTACGGATTTTCTTAGGGGTAAACTTTTTTATATGAAAATGTATGTATGTGTGCTGCATGCTTGAAATTTGGAGCTTTCTTGGACAAATTTATATTATTTACACCTGTCGTCTTTGTTTTTTTTTTTAACTAGAGATAACCATTTTTGAATTTGTATGGGGGTACCTACTAGGTGACCCCCCCCTCTCCTAGTATCGCCTCTGTATTTAAACTTTCCTCCTTAAATAGATAGAAACAATATTTTTTTTGGGGGGGGGGATTTAAAATGGGAAATGAAAGTTCCATGGTGCAAAGTACATACATTGAGAACTAGAAAATCGTGAAATGAAATCGTCTGTCTTCTTATCTCTTAATTGTGAAAATAACTTTGTAATTTGCAATAAGAAGTTGCAACTGAAAAGGGTTTCCACGAATCAGTAGATTCTCTTGCGCAACGATTTTGTGTTTTTTTTTGCGCGAAATGACTTGTTGTGTACAAAAATCGCATCAATTTCATATTAATACGAAACCAGTTTTGCACCAAATTATGCATTCACTCGGAAAAACTTCTTTTGCGCGAAATTACGCAGGAATATTGAATTTAAGTCATAATTAGTGCATAATTTTGCGCATTAATACAAACTCGTAGTTTTTGCAAAATTTGGCAATGCTCATGAAAACGAAAAATTGGAATATTTGTGCAATGTGGTTCATGAACAATAATTACATTATTATCATATTTATAGTTTAGACACAGTTAAAATTTTGGTTACTTTCATTAATAAAATTATTCATGATAAATATGTTTTGAGAAAACGCTAAAAAAGGTGCGTCTCAGTTTTACTGAGGACATCTTATCAATCTTTATTCAATAAATACATATGTATACATTATTCTTGTTTGGGTGCAAGAAACCCTGTGTGATGAATTCATTCCTTTCCTAAAATTGTTTCTCGAAATTTAACGAAATAGCTCGAAATAACGAGATAGGTCGAAATATCAGGAAACGACGTATATTACGCAAAAACAAAGATTTTCTTCAGAATTTGCGCGAAAATGTTTTGCATCAATGGAAAATTATATCGAAATTTCGTGCAATTTTTAATTAAAACGTTAACAAATCTTTGCGCAATTATTTATATATATATATATATACTATACATTATTATTATAAATATTATTATATATTATTTATATGTGTATAAATATAATTATTGCATAAAAGCATGAAACAATTTGTTTATGAATAAAATGTTATAAGAAGATTGTTGCGTTTCAACTGATATAATTATTGTTATATATATATTTATGTATAAATTTAAAAATGTTCAGATAACTTTTTTAGAAATGGTTGCTTATTACACATCTTTAACCACATTTAAATATTTAAATATAAAAGACAAAAGAAGACAAGGAGAATTCCACTGTGTTTTGGTCCTCACTGTATACAAGTAACTTTGTGAGATTCAGATCCTTCTGCCTGGGTACTAACAATACTTACTAGTAATTCTGTGAGAGCCAGGAATATATATTCGGACTAAGCAGAATCCGAACTACTGGATAATAGTTATACTTACCAGAATCCCAACTACTGGATAATTGGTATACTTACCAGTAACTCTGTGAGAGCCAGGACCTTCTCTCTGGCCTAGGCAGAATCTGTACTACTGGGAAATAGTTTTCTGATATCTCGTTTCCAACAGGGATTTTCTAAAATAGTTCATTTGTAGGAAGTGTGAACAAAAAAGGGGATAAAACTATCATATAATTTAGTATAACACACATTTTGCATTCATATATAATATTGAAAAAAAGCTTTCAAGGACGTATACAGGGATAGGCAAGGGGGGCAGTGCCTCAACCTAGACGTGTGATACTGTAGAGTGAAAAACATAAAACTGTTACTTCTGTAATTCCTCTTCCTGACAAGCAACTGCTGCTACTGTAGTTTTACTACCTGACAAGCATCTGCTACTTCAGTAGTTCCTATCTGACAAGCATCTGTTACTACTGTAGTTCCTCTTCCTGACAAGCAACTGCTGCTACTGTAGTTTTACTACCTGACAAGCATCTGCTACTTCTGTAGTTCCTCTACCTGACAAGCAACTCCTACAGCAAAATTTCATCAACCTGACAGGAACTACTTTTACTGAAGTTCCACTACCTGATAAGCAACTGCTACTATGCTGTAGTTCCTCGATACCTGACAAGCAACTGCTACTATTCGCAGTTCCTCTAACCTGACAAGTTACAGCTACTACTTTAGTTACTTTACCTGACAAACAACTGCTACTATACTGTAGTTCCTCTAACCCGACGAGCTACAGCTATTACTGTAGTTTCTCTACCTGACAAGCAACTGCTACTATTCGTAGTTCCTCTAACCTGACAAGTTACAGCTACTACTTTAGTTACTTTACCTGACAAACAACTGCTACTATTCGTAGTTCCTCTAACCCGACGAGCTACAGCTATTACTGTAGTTTCTCTACCTGACAAGCAACTGCTACTATTCGTAGTTCCTCTAACCTGACAAGTTACAGCTACTACTTTAGTTACTTTACCTGACAAACAACTGCTACTATTCGTAGTTCCTCTAACCCGACGAGCTACAGCTATTACTGTAGTTTCTCTACCTGACAAGCAACTGCTACTATTCGTAGTTCCTCTAACCTGACAAGTTACAGCTACTACTTTAGTTACTTTACCTGACAAACAACTGCTACTATTCGTAGTTCCTCTAACCCGACGAGCTACAGCTATTACTGTAGTTTCTCTACCTGACAAGCAACTGCTACTATTCGTAGTTCCTCTAACCTGACAAGTTACAGCTACTACTTTAGTTACTTTACCTGACAAACAACTGCTACTATTCGTAGTTCCTCTAACCCGACGAGCTACAGCTATTACTATAGTTTCTCTACCTGACAAGCAACTGCTACTATACTGTAGTTTCTCTACCTGACAAGCAACTGCAACTACTGTAGTTCCTGTACCTGACAAGCTACTGATACTACTTTAGTTCCTGTACCTGACAAGCAACTGCTACTACTGTAGTTCCTGTACCTGACAAGCAACTGCTACTACTGTAGTTCCTCTACCTGACAAGCAACTGCTACTACTGTAGGTCCCACAAAGAATTTATAAATATTTGTATAACAGCTGTGGTTTAACATCGCCAAACTAGGATACACAGCATTCCCTATACATCTAAACAGTACAGAATGATTATAAAGTAAATTCATGAGAACATCAGGATTAATATCAATAAAAGGAATAAGGGCAGTTTTATGATGATATTTAATGAAGATGATGATGATAACCACAATAATAATAGAGTTAAAAATTATTTTAATAACAATAATAATGACTAAAATTATAATAAGAATAATAATAAGAATAGTAAAAATAATAATAAAAATAATAATAATAACAAAACAAAACCTGATTCTGTTCTCGTATAAAAGACCGGGGTTTAAAAGTCTAAAATAGAAAATTTATTAAAACATTAAACAGTTAGAAGTTTTCAAAAATGATCATAAAATTTACCCATTTTCAAAATCTGTCTGTTTATCAGGTTCTCCCTGAGTGACTGAATGAGTGTTAAACTGCATTTTCTCAAGGAAAGTGTACAAGAGTTCACCTGGAAGAAAACCAAACATTTTTACATAGGTAATAACTTTTATATTTTTACAGAGGTAATAACTTTTGTATTTTTACAGAAGTAATAACTTTTGTATTTTTAATCTTTATAACTCGCTTAGTTGGTTCCCCTTTCTTAATTCTGTCTTATTCAAGTAATCATCTTTACCATCATCTTTAATTGGTGGATTTTCTTCATATCTCAAGAAATAAAATGAAATATTTAAATTTTTAAGTTTCCACTATGAATATTAAGATCATTCTTGATGAAATTACTATTTAAAGAATAAATCAAAAAATATTTAAAATAAAAAAAGTGTTAAAACAGAATAAAAAGTATAAATATTTGGGTTTTCGTTGATTTCCTATCAAAAGTTCTTCCTCTGTTAAGTTTTCAAAAACCTAGAAAAATATAAATCTAGTTTTATTTTACGAAAAAAATTGTTTTCTTTTTTATCACTAAGCAACTACAAGCAATTACCTTGTTTTTTTTAACTCCAAAATACCCAGCTTGTTGAAGATTTCTCAAATGAAAGATCGAGCTCATCAAAAAAGCGAAAATTCTACAAAAAAAAATGGATATAATTTGCAATATTTTAGTAAATTTTCAAGGGACAGTAAGCGTAATTTCAATTGACACTCCATGTAAAGATGCTATACCAGATTTACAACGGTAACCTTGAAACTTAAAAATGATGGAGCTCTTACTATTTTGATCGAATCAGAAAAACGATGGTATTTTTCACATTTTCAATCAGATTAAGGTTGCAAGGGTAACGCGAATCGATTATTGCCATCTTTGTATGAAATTACGCTCACAACCCCTTTAAGTAATTGAGTATTGCTCTGAGACTAAAAGAACACACACAACAAAGCAATTTGTAAATACAATCTGGAAATAAATAATAAACAAATAGTTGTATGGGTCTATACTGTATTTAAGGATTTCTACGATGCATAAATTAAACCCACAAGTTCATAAGTAATTATTTTCTTGAAATAATATCAATAATAACTGTAATAAATAGAGATGTAAGTGTCCGGCTGTTTTCATTTCGTTCGTTCATCGTTCGTGAACGGCCCCTTTTGTTTAAATGTTAAACAAATATTTTACTCGTTTACAAAATTATCATTCTTTTGAATCTATATTTCTTTTGTTTTCTTACTAGATGATCACTCAGTAAGATCGTTCGTTCTGTAAAAATGGTTCGTTCAGTAAAATTGAATTGTTGCATGTTGCATGTTGAAAAATGTCATTAAAACAGTTTTGTTGAGTTTTTTTTCTTCAAAAGTTAGTTCTAAAAATCACTTTTTAAGCGAAAAAAACTATTGTTTAAACAAAAAATTCTGTTTCTCTTAACGATCCAAGATGTTTGTCCACCCTTCGGTTTTTTTCTGAACGGCATCATCGTTTTCGAAAAATTCAGTTTGTTCATAAAAACGATGCCCATCTCTAGTTATGAAAAACACCTTGTTTGCGGCATTCTTTCATGATGCCCAACCAGCCTTGCCACACCTTCGTATTCATCTCTAAACAAAAAAAAGGTATTATTTAAATACTTTCAAAGCTGGGAACATATGTATTTGATTCAAAGGTTCGTATATGTATTTAAACAGAAATAAGTTACAATGCCTGAACTCCAAATCAACAGCATAAACTTTTAACATAATGCGATTAAAAGCATTTATTCTGTGGAAATATACATACAGACATATTATCAAAATCTATGAAAATGCTTTAAAAAATAGGTAGTAAAAACTTTGTGTTTCTGCATTGTCATTGATTTTGGACAATTTATTTGAAAAATATCATTTCAAAATAAAAGTGAATTTGACGTTATATTAAAATCTTCAATATTGTCAGTCTAAAACACCTCTAAATCTTATTAAGAAGCATTGAATAGAACAAAAATGTTTGTATTTCTTGTATGTAACCAAGTAAATTTGTGCATATATTTGACCTCCTTCTTCTTTCTAGTGGAGTGTGGTGTACAGAAAACTTATATTCTTACTAAAAGAAAAAGCTTATCGTTTGCACGCTAAAGAAGTTTTGTGTCTTCTGAATTTAGGGTTAAAAAGTTGAATTAGAGTAATAACCAAAACTAAAATAACCTGAATGATAGTGTTGAATTGTGAACTTTTAACAGTTTATCTTTATTTTTAAGGAACCAGGCCAAGCTTTTCTGGGTCACTGTCTAAAAATAATTGAAACTGTATAATGGAACTGTCGAGTGAAAGTCAGAATTACATCCCCCTGTTCAGTTCTTAGTCAAGAATGTTTCCATACATCGTTCGGTTCTTAGTCAAGAAGATGGTATGGGGGGGGGGGTATTTTATGGTTCTCAAAGACAAAAGTTTTGTAGAAAAGAGGTTTTTTAAAAAAGTAAAAAATGACGATTTTATAATAAAAAAAATGCTCACGTTCGTTCTTGTGAAAGAAAGGTCGTTCTTCAAGAACGACGCAAAGTGCTACAGGTAGCAATAACAACAACCAAGGTTGTATATCAATGAACAGTGAAATCGTTAATTACAATTATAGAGGCGAGTGTAGGAATCAGTCACAGCATTTACGGATGTTAATGTCCTTTGCTTAGGAGACAACATTTTCCGTACATTGGAGGCCATCGAGAATAGTCAACCTTACTAAACAACATTGACTACAATGAAGATCATCCTGTCAGTCTGTATTGACATAATTTTAAGACTCAAAGAAGTTCGTAGTAAGATTTCGATTCTACTGGAGACCACCGGAGGGATTTTATTTTCACTGGAGGTGTTTGAAAAATGCCTTTTACAATTAAAACTTTACGCTGGGTGATTTACATTCCACTGGAGGGATTCAGATGTCCTTCCTAGGGGTTTATGATTTCACTGGAGGGATTCAGATATCCTTCCTAGGGGTTTATAATTCCACTGGAGGGATTCAGATATCCTTCCTAGGGGTTTATAATTCCACTGGAGGGATTCAGATATCCTTCCTGGGGGTTTATTATTCCACTGGAGGGATTCAGTTATCCTTCCTAGGGGTTTATAATTCCACTGGAGGGATTCAGTTATCCTTCCTAGGGGTTTTTAATTCCACTGGAGGGATTCAGTTATCCTTCCTAGGGGTTTATAATTCCACTGGAGGGATTCAGATATTGGAATTATAAACCGCCAGGAAGGATATCTGAATCCCTCCAGTGGAATTATAAACCCCTTGGAAGGATAACTGAATCCCTCCAGTGGAAATATAAACCCCAAGGAAGGATAACTGAATCCCTCCAGTGGAATTATAAACCCCTAGGAAGGATATCCGAATCCCTCCAGTGGAATTTTAAACTCCTAGGAAGGATAACCTAATCCCTCCAGTGGAATTTTAACCCCCCGGAAAGATATCTTAATCCCTCCAGTGGAATTATAAGCCCCTTGGAAAGATATCTGAATCCCTCCAGTGGAATTATAAGCCCCTTGGAAAGATATCTGAATCCCTCCAGTGGAATTATAAACCCCTTGGAAGGATATCTGAATCCCTCCATTGGAATTATAAACCCCTTGGAAGGATAACTGAATCCCTTCAGTGGAATTATAAAACCCCAGGAAGGATATATGAATCCCTCCAGTGTAATTATAAACCCCTTGGAAGGATAACTGAATCCCTCCAGTGGAATTATAAACCCCCAGGAAGGATTTCTAAATCCCTCCAGTGGATTTATAAACCCCTAGGAAGGAAAACTGAATCCCTCCAGTGGAATAATAACCCCCTGGGAAGGATAACTGAATCCCTCCAGTGGAATTATAAACCCCCAGGAAGGATATCTGAATTCCTCCAGTGGAATTATAAACCCCTTGGAAAGATAACTAAATCCCTCCAGTGGAATTATAAACCCCTAGGAAAGATATCTGAACCCCTCCAGTGGAATTATAAACCCCTAGAAAGGATAACTGAATCCCTCCAGTGGAATTATAACCCCACAGGAAGGACATCTGAATCCCTCCAGTGGAATGTAAATCACCTTGCGTAAAGTTTTGAATTACAAAAAGCATGTTTTCAAACCCCTCCAGTGAAAAAGAATTCCCTCCGGTGGTGTTCAGTGGAGTCAAAATCTTACTAGGAACTTCCGTGACTCTAATTTTAATCAAATTTGATTAAATTTTGATTTAATTTTCATCTTGAATTAAACATACTTTCGAAAATAGCGTGATAGATTAGTTTTAAATAATTTTTTATTTAAAATAATTACTCAAACAAAAAAAGTATAGAAAAGCAATTACAAAAAATCTTGATTTGACGGATAAAAAATGCGTTACAAAGTTAAGGCTCCCTGAGTTTTCAGTTTTCACTAAGATCTGAAACTTACTCTTAAAGTACCCTTAATCCAAGAATATGAAATATTCATACCATATTCTCTATTTTCATTTTTATTTATTTTTCCATAAACCAACTTGCGCATTACTGATTTAGAAAAATTGGAGAAAATTGACTGAATTAAACACTTTTCAAGTAGGATTTTTTGCCATTAAAAGAGCTACAAAATTAGGGTTTTTAGCGAACAAAAACTTTTGCGTTGAGTTGCCAACAATTTGCAACAATTTTTTTTTGGTATTTTAGATTTTGATCCATAATGAAGTTTTTACTTACCTTCAAGGCCATTCTGTGGAACTTCTTAGTCCCTTTAGCATTGGTTTTCCCTTCCTTCACAGAGGACTCCATATAAACAGAGGAAAATAATTGTTTTTTTTTACAAGGCATTAATTCTTAAATATTTTAACAGCAATAGTAGTATTGATTTTTAAAAAGAGAAGTACAAATCAAACAATATTGGGGGACACAATAAAACTGTGTTTTCTGTCCAACAATTAGAATAATCCATTAATATTTGGACTCCCTGCATCATCTGTCCTATCACAGATTCAAAAACATCTTCTCTTCCACACTCAAACTGATGATACCCTTCTACAAAAAAATATCATTAAAACATGATGTTTAACATAATCTTAAATCATTATTTTACCTATTGCAGACTTTTTGCATTGAAAGCCACAAAACCTAGATTTAAATATAAATAATCAATATTTGGAAAAAGCAAAAGAGGAACAGGAGTAGGACCAACATTTGAAAATCAAAATAATTATTCATGTAAAGGCCGAGTAGCCTGAATCTTTGAATAAGACTGGGAGGTAGAAGCATCCCCCAAGAAAAAGGGTTTAGAATACAGGTATAGGGAAAATTTTACTTTTCTGTACCCTACCCAATTCATTAAAAAAATTTCAAAAAATTCTTAAAAATTACTTTGCCTAAAAATTCTAAAAATGCCTATGTGCTACTCTCAAAAATAGAGCAAATGCAATGTTTGGAAAAACATGAAAAATTTTTGATTTGATTTCCTGAGAGCCGAGCAGTGATCACAGGGAATTTGCCTAAAAAAAAAATATTCAAAATATTTTCAAAAAATTAAAAATTCTGATGTATTGTTCAATAACCTATTTACATTGTTATAAAAATTATTTAGAAATTTTAATTAGTTTCATTATTTAGTAATTGGTTTAACCTTGAAGTTTTTCTTTTTTTTTGTTATTCTTGTCTCAAGTAATTATTAGTAAACTAAATATAATGAAATTTTATGCAAAACATTTAAAAACAACTGTCATAACTTTTTATTTTAACTTTTCCCACTATTTTATGACAATTCCTATATATTACAAAATATTGTCAATTTTCTAATCTAAAAATTTCCTTTCTTGACGTATTGTTTGAAATAAAACCTGTCATCCAATTTCAGTCTTTTGCAAATGTTCAAAAAGTACCCTTGTGAAATGGGCATGTAATTCTTGATTTTTAATATCAATTTAAACCATGGCTCTTTATATCAAATTCTAGTCTACAAAAGGTATATTTAAAGCAGTTTTTTAATTAAAAAAAGTGTGTGCCTCTGTAAGCAGAGAGTAACAATTATAAGTAGGTCAACAGTTCCTTTAAATAAATTAATTTAATTCTAACCTACCCTATGAGGTGAATATTTAAATCCATTTATCAAAATCTAATCACCTAAGGTATATATATTTAAATCCATTAATCAAAATCTAATTACCTAAGGAATATATATTCAAATCCATTAATCAAAATCTAATCACCTAAGGTGTATATATTTAAATCCATTAATTAAAATCAAATTACCTAAGGGGTATATATTTAAAAATCCCTTTATTAAATTCTAACTAACTAAGAGGTAATTTTAACATTTGTTTTTAAATATTGGCTTAACAAATTTATCACGAAAATTTATAGATAAACATGTGATAGCAGCTTCTAGTTTCTTTATATCTCTATTTTTCTTAAAATCTCCATTTTTTGTTCTTGTTTTGCATCAATGACCAAATGTTGGCTGAGTTTGAAAAATAAAGAAAATTTGTTGTTGTTACAACATCCCTGTAAAGCCAACATTTAACAGGTTTCATAGTTACTTCTTGTTGACCTTGCTTCTCATCTTCTCTGATTTAGCAACTAAATTCAAACACATACTCTTGGTATTCTTCTATTTTGGGTAAAGTGGATATGACCCCATGCTGGGGATCATATCCGCTCTCTGAAATTTGCTACATTAAACAAAAGAGCGCCTACGTTAGTCACAAGGACTGTCCTAGTCTCTTTTTTAGTCCCAGATGGTCCACTCGGGTTCCTTCCAGTTCTCATGTTCAGTTTCCTTTTGTCTTCTAGTTTCTTGTAATTTATTGCTTTCGGTTATCTCAGAGTAGGTTTTAGAGATGTTAAGTTCTAGAACTTTGGGTAATATGAGTTGAGGATTGGTGAGGAATGGGGCATCAGGAGTGCTTGGTTGAAAACACTCTGCTTTCCACGTTTTACACTGTATTCCCAGTTTGAACAGAATTTAAATAGGTTTTTCGCATTGGAGTTGGTTACCACCCTCTCAGGATTCCTCTATGTTTCCATTTTTTTTGTTTCTGGCAAGAGAGAGGGGAAAAAACGGAGAAAGACCCAAACTCTGTATTATTATTTTCTCTGTTTTCCTGTTTTAAGGTTGGTGCTGCCATGTTGGTTTTGCAGAGTGCTTCTCGGGCAGTGTATTGGCCGGGCTACAAAGAGCAGAGCACTGACGTCTAGGTAGAAACTGTTCAATTGCCAGTGCACAACTGAACCACCTAAGAGGTGTATTTTTAAATCAATTAATTAAATTCTAACCTACCGAAGGGGTATGTAATTAAATCCATTATTTAAATTCTTACCTACCTAAGGGGTAAACATTAAGATCCATTAATCAAGTCCTAGCCTACCTAAGGGGTATATATTTAAAGCAGTTATCACAATGCTCCTCCCTCTTATCATAATACAGACAAGCTGTTGCAGGATTTTCAATTACCAAAACCTCTCCACATTCTATATCCCTAAATAAAGCAAAGTTAGTACAGGGGGAATCATAATAATGTGGAATAAGAATACAGAATTCATATGTATTTAATGCTGACATTGATAAAAAAGCTTTAATAGTAGTTTGAAAATCAGCTTTTGAAAATACCATTTTTTATCTTTTTTTAAACCACTGATAAGGACGGCACTTCAGCTAGTTATTTGATAAAAGTTGTGTGTGGTCTTTATCTTCTCAGCAATATGTGTTCACAAACCTTATTTCCCCTAACCTTATGTATACTTACATTGATTCATAGGATTATTTTGTCTAAGAAAAAAATGAGTGTCCAAATATATTTTGGAACTATTAAACCACATTCAGTTTTTTTTAATTTGCTAGGTCCTAATTGTGATCATGTTTATGTGCAATTATCAAATTGTGTTAGCTTCTAACAAAATTTTTTGAAATGAGAACTCTGGCAAAACTTACTTTTTCTCAATATATGTTGGATAAGATAATTTAACCTGTTAGCAATTACATGTCTTCCTTTTTTCTCGTCATATTTAAGCTCCAGAGCACTTGAACCAGATTTTATAAATAATCAGTTGAACCACTTTATCTGCACCAGGTCAATCTGAATTAGTTCAACCTGGTTCAGTCATTTCTCACTATTTAATAAAACTGGTTCCTAGAAAATGCAGGGAGGGTTGGATGCCTCTTTTCCATCGTTGGTAGTTTGAGCCAAGGTTCAGCTTCTTCTTCAACTGCATCTGATGACTTGCTCATTCCTAGATAATTATTAATCAATAATTGATTAATTAATTACAAAAATAGATTCAAATCTTCTTTTTATCTGATTGATTAGTTTCAATTGCTTTTGATGTGCAATTTATACTGCAGAAAGAAAATAGTTTAACAATTTAAAGAAAAAAAATTGTGAAATTCAAATTAAGAGAATTTTGAAAAATTGAAATACCCTTATAGTAAAAAAAATCTTAGTGACCAAGAAACAGAATTACCGAACATTTTAAGAATTCAAATGATTATTTTTTATTAAAAAACTGATTGTAACCTTTCTTAAGTTCCTCATTTGCATCCATTTCAATTTTAACTTTCTTTTTCTCCTCTAAATATTAGAATATTATTCAGTACATGTATTTTTCATTCTTTTATAATACAGATATTTACAGATGGGAAGGGGAGTACTAATTATAAGTAAAAAATCTAATTTAACATTTAAGAAATAAAATCAAGAATTTGTTGTGATAAATTTTAAAACAAGAGAAATATTGAACTTTAGAGTAAAGTGCTAACTGTCTATTTTGTTTTTTTACAAATAAAAATATTTAAATCTCAAAAAAGGTATTGTGAGTCATGTTCATACCAAGTGTGCTGGTGCCTAGATCTGCTTGAAGTTGTAGAACTGCCTTTTTTGCTTCTTCAAGTCTACCTAGGCCTATCAGGCAGTACACACGCCTTTCAAAAACCTTATATCTGAAATAAATGGAATATGAAGGAAATCTCAAATGGCGCTCTAATAAAGTACTCAAAATGAAGAAATCTTAATCAAGTTATTTAAATATATATTTAAAGGAAACAGACCCATAGCTAGGTTGAGGGCACCAAAGCATGTGCTCTTCCCTTTTTCCTCAAAAGAGGGCACATTATTTGAGACAAAAATAAGTAAAAAGAAAGAAAGAAGGGAAAAAGCAAAAATTGGCAAAAAATATAATTTTTGTTTATTAATAATATGTGTCTGGAAATGTAAGAAATTTTTTTTTTGGTTTTAGACAAATATCAAGACATGTGGTTCACTCAAGGAGAGTGCAAGTGCAAGAAAGCTAGAGGGGCATCAAAAGACATTTTAATAGTTTTTCATGTCTCCAAACTAATTATTGGCTTTTTCTGATGCAATAATTTTCAGAAATACATCTATTTATAATTTAACAAAAATTCTCTTCAAAATATCTATTCTGATCAGATGATGATGTATCAGTTTGGTTATGACATTATTCTTCCAATTTTTTATTTTGATGCTAAAGCTTTTTAATCACTAAGGAAAAAAACATAATGTGAAATAGGCAAAATATCTATCTTGATAAATCATAATGTGTGCAAAGTTAAAAATCTAGTTTTTTAGTCTTGAGTCATTAAATTGACCTTTTGACCATTTATATCTTTGCTTTTTAACCTTTGTGCTGTACCCTAAAAAATTTCCAGCTAAGGGCCTGGTTGAGAAAAATCCAATTAAATCTCAAAATTTTTTAAGAATTTAATAATGCCCCAGACTATTATATTTTCCATTCTCTGCTAACCCAGGAATTTGCAATCATATTCCCTCCAGGTGGTTTATATGATACAGGGTGTAATTATAATGTACTGTGTATTGTAGATAAATTTTAAAATATAGTATTTTCTAATTTTTAATTTTGAGGTTTTATGTGTAGCAAATAATCAATCACTGCCAAAAAAACGTCAGAAAATTGCATTTATTCTACAAAAAAAGCGCATTTGTTTTGCAAACATCAAACTTTTGCTTGGGATTGCAACAGTGTGGATTCTTAGTTTTTTTTTACAAGAATAACCAAAAAAATGTTAGAAGAAAAAAAAACAATATTTATTTTTGGCGTTGGGCTTAGTCTCCATCCTAGTTTTCCCATATTAATGGGATATTTTGAAGTTTAATTTACCTAATATCTTGAGGGTATCCTGCATCCAATGCATAATCAATATCCTCCAGGGCTAGTTTATACTTTTCCAGTCTGTACAGAGCTGCAGACCTTCACACAATATTTGAACTTTTCTACATACATAAAGCCACATGGCTACTCAAAAAAAGAGATAATCTTTTAAAATTTACTCAAAAGAGTGGGTCATTACTACTTCAAAACTGGGATGAAAAGTCGACTTTTTCACGACTTTTTGTACCAAGTTTATGGATTCAGAACTTGAATGAAAAAGTCTAAACTAGTTTTAAACTAGCAATCTATCCCAGTTCTGTTCGCTGGGATAGTCCTTACAGTAGTTATTAAACATCATGGAAATAATGATTCACAGCCATTTAATAACCCACTGTAAACCTGGTGCATTTAATAACCCACTGTAAACCTGGTGCATTTNATATATTGCAGGTTTACAGGATTCATTCAAGGATAAATATATTGCAGGTTTACAGGATTCATTCAAGGATAAATATATTGCAGGTTTACAGGATTCATTCAAGGATAAATATATTGCAGGTTTACAGGATTCATTCAAGGATAAATATATTGCAGGTTTACAGGATTCATTCAAGGATAAATATATTGCAGGTTTACAGGATTCATTCAAGGACAAATATATTGCAGGTTTACAGGATTCATTCAAGGATAAATATAAGAACAGGAAAAGGTTAAATATATGAACAGGAAAAGGTTAAATATATGAACAGGAAAAGGTTAAATATATGAACAGGAAAAGTAATAATAAATTGAAATCATTATAAATCAGTACAATTGATACAATTCATACAATTGTTTGTAAATGAAATTATCAAAATATTCTCATGTTGTCCATTCTCACCATGAAACACAAGCCAAATGCATTTTAAAAGGAGTATTGTGATAAAAAAACTAGACTCCCTCAATCCCTGACCCCCTAAAATATCCCCCCTAACCTTCCTTAGATTATTCAATTATCTCCTTGGTTGGCTATTGCCATGAAAATTTTGTACCTGTTGGCAATTGCCAAGCTTAGATCTCTCCCTTGCTGCTTGTCATTCACATAAGCAAAAGCAATGGCTTTGGAAAAATATGAGGCAGCTAGACTCCATTTTCCTGCCTGGAAAATAATGTTTTTGGTTTGTATCTTGTAGGGCAGACGTCTTTCTACTAGAATGTTTAAGAACTACTGAACCTCATTGTTGCCGCATTAACATTTTAGTTTATGGATTTGCAGTTTTAGATTTCATAAAAATCTTGCCTCCATTATTGGTGACTTTCCGTACATTGAAGCACATCAAGGGTAATTCCAACCTCATTATACAACCTTGCTTTAAGGCAGAAGCAATTTATAATGTCTTACTTGGAAATGCTTGTTACCAATCTCTCTATTGCGCCTGCTTTCACCTAAAACACCATTATTTAATGAGTTAACGATTTGCCGTTTAAAAGACTCAACAAAAATTCTTCCAACAAACAAAAGAACCTTTAATTAAAATGTTTTTAAAGATGGGCATAATTTTTGTGAATAAAAGAAATCTTTGAGGACAAACTAAATTTTGATGAATGATGGTTTTGTTCAGAAAAATGAAACGATTTAATTTAAGAAAAACTTAATGAACAAAAAATTTATATTACAGTTTAGATTTTACTAAACGAACGATTTTATTTAACGCTCTTTCAGTATGAAATATATGGAAAATGAACAATTTGTTAAATAAGTATAAAAACAGCAGTAAACGTTTGCATTGAGTCTTTGTCATAAACTCTGATTTTCTAATCTTTATATATTTTCAACCCAATGTTGTAGACCTTATTATTTCAATCTATGAATTATGTTAGATCAAATAATCCAAAGGTTTAAAATATCAAAGGTATACACCTCCCATAGGGATCAGAATATTTGTGTTTGTAGCAACAACTCAATTCCTTTACCTTCACTTTTCTGGGATACTTGTTTTCCACTCTTCTTTAGTAACTCTTGCATGAGCGGAACCTTAGCATATCAATATCAATGATTTCCGAATAATATCGACAAATTTTATATTATTAAGAAATATGGAAACATTAATTTAGTGAAAAAATATCAATTTATCAATTTTACAGTATTATAGCAGGTCGATAAAGTTAATTTTACAGTATTATAGCATGTCGATAAAGTTAATTTTACAGTATTATAGCAGGTCGATAAAGTTAATTTTACAGTATTATAGCAGGTCGATAAAGTTAATTTTACAGTATTATAGCAGGTCGATAAAGTTAATTAATCGACATACAATTTATGGGACAAACCATTTGTCAAAAATTCCCTCAAAATTTAATAAAAAGTAATAGGAAATGTTCCCGACAGGAAAGGCGTACATTGTACATGTTCTTATTTAAGAACATTTTTCGTTTTTGCTTTTCTATGAATATTATAAATTAATATTAGATATCTAACTGTTAATTTATGATATAAAATTTATATGTCATTTTAAACAACAGCTAGACATTCCTATAAGTTTTGATTTTATATAGTGGAATGTCTAATTTACAAGAGTACCCTATCAACCAATGTATATCAAACATGCCAGTCTATAAATGTAGTTTACTTGAAATTACATTAATTTTTTATCTTGTTTTTATTGTAACCATCCCCAACCCCCTTCCCCTGCTCCAGACGCCTTATCTAGATACTCTAGCTTTCCAAACACGATAAGGATGTGTTGATAAGACAGGATCACAGGATATAAAAGGAGACCTAACAAATAATAAGTTTAGTTGTGCGCCAGCTCTCACAAGGAGAGGATGAAGACATTCGCCAACTCCCCACAGTGGTAAGAAGCAGTCAGTCCAAAGGAATAGAAACTGCTTGGACGGATTGGAGCTGTGGGAAACAACATGCTGAAGGAGATTTGTTACCAGAACAAAGATGGTGCCAGAAGAGATATGTTGCCTGAGGGGATCATTTGCCTGAGGAGATTTGCAGCCCTGAGGAGATACCATGTTGAAGGTATCTAGCCAAGGAGTATCTAGCCAAGGAGTATCTAGCCAAGGAGTATCCAGCCAAGGAGTATCCGGCCAAAGGAGTAACCCATCACTGAGTGCCAAATCTGTTTCTTTTGACTTTAGTTATTTATTCCTTCATTTTGTTTCTTTTTAATATAGATGTTCAACTACTTTGTTCTATTATTGGTGTGTGACTTGACGGTTACTAGAATATTGTTACCCTCCTTTGGGAGTATCCATTCAAATATAACATTATCTTTAAAAATATGTCTTGCCTTCCAGATTCTTGTTATCTTCTCTGGAAAACTTGAACACTGCTGAAACTCCTTAGACTCCTACCAAGGGTTGACATGATATGTAGTCTGATTCACAATGATACCCTTTAAACTTTTATCTGAGTAACAATGTAAAAGATATCGTAGTTGTTGCATTATGATAATTTTCTGACAGAAAAGTATGAATATTTTTTTATTCGATTTGCCTAGTAATGTTTAAAGTAAACTACTGCAAATCTTTAAATGTCACTCTATATAATTAGAGAGCCATTAGATCACTGATGGGGGTAATGGGGCCTGAGCTGAGGGGGGGGGGCATTATATCTATTTCCCCCCCCCCTCTTCCTTAGTGTTTGTCATATTTGACACAATTATTGGTCTGAGGCTTATTTTTTGGTTAACAATATTTTTGATCAGAATTTTGATAATAAATTTCCAATACCAATTTTTTATAAAAATTATTATCTTGAAATTTTAATGCAATTATTTTAGGAATTCATCTTTATTTTGTCTATTCAATTTTTATAATATCATTTTTAGATATTTACTAAAAGCCATTTTTTGGAAATCTTCTTTTATCCAATAAAAAATGTTTCAACGATAATATTTCCGGAACAAAATATTTCCGGAACAAAATATTTTAAAGATAATATTTCCGGAACAAAATATTTCAAAGATAATATTTCCGGAACAAAATGTTTCAAATATAATATTTCCGGAACAAATGTTTCTAACATAATATTTTCGGAACTAAATATTTCAAAGATAATATTTCCGGAACTAAATATTTTAAAGATAATATTTCCGGAACAAAATGTTTTCTTACAAAATATTTCTGCAAGCTAATCGATATAATTATGCAACGTACAGCACTTTAAAGACAACCCCTAAATAACTCAAATCGGACCTGGAGTCTATGCTAATCACTCAGAGATAGCACATAAAGCATCCAAAAATAATTTATTCTGTGGTCGAAATCATTTTGTTTTGTGATCAGAGTCCTTTTGTAGTTAGAAATATTGTGTGGTCAGAATCATTTTGTGCCATTTGTGAGGAAACAATTTGTGGCAGAAATATTTTTGTGGTCTGAAACATGTTACGCCAGAAACATTTTAAGCGGAAACATTTAGTACGGAAACATTTTGTGTCAAATACATTTTGTAAATTTGTATGGAAACACCAATATAATTTAACAAGACATTCGTATATATATATATTTATATATATGTTGCGTATAGCCAGTCCATCGGCTTGACCGATTGGGCTGAATTTTTTGTGGACACTCATGGGTGTTATAGACAAAAAAATCGAAAATATTTTTTTCAAAATATTTTTCTAAAAATATTTGTTTTTAAATTTTTTTCCACGGGCAACGCCGGCTCTTCAGCTAGTATGTTATAAGTCTTTAGACATTTTAAGACAATTATCAGGAATGTTTTCGACCAACTCTTAATTACGAATTAAATTTTTCCACAAATAAAATTTAATATCAACCACCCTTTTCTGAGCCGAAGAAATGAAGCATTTTTGCTTCAGAACTTGGGAGCGGAGTTTCTAACATTTTGTCTGAAAAGAAAATAATGTAAATGATAAATAGTCCTGGATCAAAATTTAATAAAATTTTGATTATTGAGCAATTCCATTTGATGAGATCTCAATTTTGTAAACTATTTTGACCCAAAAGACGACATTCTTTTTAATTTATTGACACATACAAAACTTTCTTTTTTAATGATATAAGCATGCTATTGCTTACATAACACAAGGTCTTCAGGTCAAGCTGACCGTCTTATGTCATAAAACTTACAGAGAATATTACGTGGGTTTAGCTAGTACAACACTGTTACACATGCATTATACAACTTTCTTTTATTTTAAGGAGAAAGCTAGGGGTTCAATGTGTATATTTTACTATATCCCCCCCTTTCCTTCTTTCCCATCTCAAGCTTTGTTCTTCGCCTTTCTTTTAGATTTTATAGAGTATTGCCTCAAGTTAAATTTTAAAATTAAAGATACTGTTCTCTTAACACGGCAGGTGAAAAAAGAATCAATTGATTTTATAAAGATATTATAAACTATTTAGTGTTTATAATAAATACAAACCACTGAAATCTGGACAATAGACGAACGAATTAAATCATTCAGAGAAATAAAAATAAACTATTTATTTATAAAAAAAATAAATTGTTAAAAAATAGTTTTTTTAACTGAAATAACGAATTTCCCAGAAGATTCCTATAAAATTATTGTTTGTTTTTCTAAACAAACGATTTTACTGAACAAATGATTTTACTGCTGGAACGATTTTATATAAGCTGAATAAATGATTTACTGAATGAACAATTTTACTGAGCGATCATTCAGCAAGAAAACAAACATGATGAAACAAAATGATAGTTTTAAGGATTCCAAACGAAATAAATTGTTTTTGAACAATTGAAAAAAATGGGTCGTTCACATTTGATGAACAAACAAATTCACAAAAAGCTGATCGCGCCCATCTCTAAAAGGATGCATTGCTACATTTATCCCTAAGGCATGCTTCTTTTGTTCAGAATAAAACCGTGGAAGACGATATATAAAAGTACGTCCTTTACATCCTTACTTTATCAACTGAATGCTTTCTGTTTTATACAGAGCGTCCCATATCATATTAGATTATCTTCAAGTTTTAACGGCGAAATAAACCCTAAATACTCGAAAAACTTGGAATTTTCCACAAGAAAATTCTTTAATTAGCTTATTCAATTTTTCGAAATAATTCATTCTCCTTAAATTTTCTAATTTGTCCCCGAAATCGCAATTTAGACCGATTGACGATCTAATATGATGTGGGACACCCTGTACTTTTCTTATATAATAAAAAATAAAGACATATTCCAGGGGCCGCAACATCCAAACATGAATTTGAGCATAAAAATTAGCCTTGCCTATACTAGACTTAAAGACAAACAGTTAAAAATATTGGAACTTTCTTCCACTATATATAAACTACAGGGTGTCCCAAAAAACATGGGAATTCAGTGACGAATTCGATATCGTCTTTTCAAATAATTCTTAGATTTAGTATGGTGATACCTACTGAGAAAGCTGTAATTTGTAAGAGTTTCGTCTGCTGTGTTCACATTTTGTTTGTTTATGTTTTGACTGCATACGGTTGTACTTAATAAGACAAAAAAATTACAGTATACAAACAAAGTAAACTTGTCAGTCTTCACTGTTCATCTTGTGGAGACATTATAGACTCATCTTTACAGTCTTTTACCCTTTTCATAAAATAAACTCTAGCAGACATAATAATATTATGGCTTATGAAAGTAGGTATTACAATGCTAATTCATAACAAAGACGATATCGAATTCGTCACTGAATTCCCATGTTTTTTGGGACACCCTGTAGTTGAAAATTATTTATATTCTAAAATAGCCAAACGAAATATTTAAAAGTGAAATTAATAAAAATATTTTTATTATCAAATATTAGTAACAGTAACATATCCTACAGAGTCATATTTAGACGTTTTTCCACTTAGGGGGCTTAAATTTTTTTTCTTTATATAGGAAAGGGAGCCCCCCCCCCCCTAAAAACTATAGATTTCCCTGACCAAGGAGGGCGAGGCCAACCTCCATAGCCTCCCCCCCTGAATATGCATTTGATATTCTAAACAGATATTTCTAGTAAATTTTTCAAGTTTATAAATTTTTAAAACTTTAAATGTGAAACTGTGTAAACATCAGATCTGACTCCTTTCACAAAAGCTCAAGAAATTGACAAACACAATGATTTAAGGGAAAATTAGGTATTTAGCAGGGGGACCTGGATCTAGAGACGTAGGACAGTTTACTCTTAAAGGATATTAAGAGATTATGGCCTATTTATACAGTACAAGCATTAAATATTCAGTACGCTTTCGGAGTACAAGTGTATGGGGAGGTTTTGTATCTTTTTCGCTCAGTTTTCTTAGAACCGTTTATTAACGATAAAATATTGCTGTGTAAAAGACTGCAATAGTACCTCTTACAGATACTGATTTTCAAATGATTTAAAATGAGGTGCAGCCATAGAGAATAGAATATATATTAGAGGGGAATTTTAAGAATCTCTCGGTATGATTTTTTTCAGTCCCTTTCAGTCCCTTTCAGCCTAAAAGGGAGTTCAAAGTGTACAAATCATGTAAATGTTCACAAATTATATGCAGTAGAGTACATTAATACAGTATGTTCCCTAGACTATTAATTTCAATTTCGAATTTTTTAAAGCTGTTAAATAAACTTTATAATGAATTAGGTGAATAAAAAACATCATTTGATTTATATTTATAACAGAAAATCATCGTTTGTAAAGTGAAAGGCATAGAGTCTGTGTGAAATGATATTCCAGGGCCCAAAAGGTTATATAGCATAAATATGTGAAGTACACCTGCAGTATGGAAACAGTACAACAAAATTGCCGTTTAACACTTTTTTCTAGTAAATTCCCCTCTAATATATATTCTTTGGGTGCAGCCCTCTAAATAAAAAGGACATGACGAATTCACATCAGTACCCAACACCTGTATTTGATCAATAATGTAGTCGTATCATCGTATGTGTATCTCGAAAGGTGTTGAATTTTGATAATTTCCTCCATTGTTTCATCAGGAAACTCAGCGAGTCACTTTCCAGAGAAATCACAATTATAATAATCAATTTAAAGAGAAAAATATGTCGTGCCTTCGTAATCAAACAGAGCCTTAATGGTACTATTTAACGGAAAAGTTGAAATTATGTCTACAGTTTTATTCAGTTTTTTTATTAAAAACCTATTTTTGCCTTTATAAAAATAAATATTTTCAGAAATCACCCCGAGTACTGTAATATACAGACTAATCGTTGAAAATGGATTAATTGTCTTGTACAATTAGTAACCGATTAGAGTGCATCACTTTGTGTACTAAAAAACGTGTTAAAAGTGTAAAATCGACCTTATTTATTGCGGAATGTTCGTCTATTTTTTGTTAAAGAAACACTTTTGAAAATATTCAAAATTATAAAATGTAAAAATGGATAAATCATTGGGTACCATTGTGAATCTAAGTTATCAACTGCAAAACAGTGGGTCACTTGATTTTATGTACAAAGTCCCTTAGAGTAGGTGAATTTCATTAATTATTTAACCTAAAGTTGCATTGTTTTGAAGGTTTTAAATGTCGTCTTCTGTAGTAGACCATTAACGGCTGCACCGTTAACGATTTATTTAACCTTCCACGAAATTTTTATTGGCACTCCCCGCATTTAACGATATCATAAAAGGTTAATATTGTAAAGGACTGTTAATGATTAATTTAACCTTCAACAAAGTTTTATCGGCACTTTACACTGTTAACGATTTCATAATACGTTAATATTGTAAAGGATCGTTAAAGGGAGTGTTCGCGAAAAATGAAAGGGGGTATAGGCTTAATGCGATAAAAAAGAGCTTTTGATCGCTACTAATCTTACTTATATCTGTTGCGTCTATATAAGGAGAAAATTGTTAAAGGCGTCTCATACCGAATAACTTAGCGCCCATAAAAATGCAGAAAATTGCAACATACAACTTAGACCGTAAAAAACCAATTTAATTTCTAACAAATCATTTAGATATTACAACCTATAGTCTTTTAGTTATAAGAAAATATGATTTTGTCCTACATGTTAAAATTAGAATTGAGTTTGCATAAATGCGCAAACAGTTTCACTGATATTTCGCAAACTTGTTCAATCTCGGATTTTACACTAGTCATTCTTAGTATGTTAAACGAGTGACATATGAATAAATAAACTTGTGAAATTATGTTATCATTCTGAGTTATTGAGACTTCTATAACACTCCCTTTAACGGCATAGCTGTAAAAAATTTCTGGCATCGTTAACGCCCTTAATAAAATTAAAAAAACGTTATTTAATAGTAATTAAAAAAAACAGAAAATGTCGTTAACAAATGGACATGCTGTTCTTAACTTTTAATTATCAGATATTTGAACTTTTACTTGTTTAACGGTTGGAACTAACCATTAAGGGAACGGCTAGAAAAAGTTGGAACGTATCCACCTTCACCTTTAAATGTTTTTATTGTTTAAAATAATTGTTGTAGTTTGTAAATTTAAAACTATAGAAAAATTCTAGTAAAAGAAAACAATTAAAGGATTTGAAATATCCTTTCAATTTTCTTTTTTGACAATATTTTTAAAATTTTTAAAATTTCAGCAACAATTCTTTTAAACATTTTTTTCTTGACATAGTTTTTCAAATGTTTTAGACGGATCAGATAAGGAATTAAGTCTTTGCCACAAATCCCAATTTTCTATTCTCTTTTTCTCTACAACCAGATGATATTTCAAACTATAAATTATTAGATCCATCAAAATTCATATCTATATCTATGACATTGGATGGTAAAGAAATAGGGATTTTAAAAATCTGAATTTTGGCAAAGACTTAGTTCCCTTGTTTGTATTGTTCTCATCCTGTTTAATTCACCGCAGTCTATACTTGGTAATTAAGAGCAATAAAACCCAGTTTGTTGCTTTAAATAGATCAACAGATTAGTTTGTTTTTATGTTGAGCTTATTATGAATGAGTAAGGATGTTTGTTAGTAAAAGTTGCGCCATCAAAACAGAAACTTTTTTAAATATTCAATTTAACAAATATACATATTATGTTTATATATGTATACATATAAATATATGTATTAGCTTTTAGTTTTAATTATGGTTTAATTTCTTGTCCAAGTATAATGTAACCTGTTAAAAGCCCTGCATGTTTTATTTGTTATTGAATTAAAAAGACTGGTTAAAGCTGTGACTGGGTTAATAAAATCTGTGCTATTAACTCCTAGGATCATTCACAATGAAGCATCCACTAGTGCAGGTTGTGTCTGCACTTGTCATAATATTAGGTAAGATCTATTCATCTTTACTCTATCCTCAGCTGGAAACTAAATTCTATCGATCTTTAATCAATCTAATTAAATTTGTATTCGATATCCCAGCAATATACCTAAGATTCCAATTCTAAACTGCAGCATTACTTCTGCAGTGTATTTAGTTAGAGTTGTATAATTTAAAAGTGCCCACTATACATATAGAGATCATGCCATCGAGATTATAAGTATACGGCACAAAAGTTCTCAGCTCTGGTTATTTTTGTTTATCTAATAGAAGTGGAAATCTTCCTTAGAGGTTGAGACATAAATGTTAAGTGTCAAAATTACAACTTTCAAATCCTACTCTATCGACTCAATCTAAAGTAAATTAAATTTAATGTTGAAATGTTTCATGTTCTAAATCATATTTCATCATCTTGTTAAGAGTTATTGAGAAAAACACAATATTTTGAATTTCCAATTTGCAACAACATAAGTATGTTTTTTTGAGAACCCAGCGTTGCCCAGGGTACTCATCATTACTTCCGCCCTTTACCCCACTTGGTTGTAAATTATGATTTCACCTTTTTTTCCTAAATGGACCCACTCAACTTAGAATCTCAAAACCAAGCTAAGAACATTCCCGTGGTTCTCCCGAAATCCCCACTCAAATGGGTCAAGGGGTTCCTGAGTTATGATCGACATACAAGCAGACAGAGAAACAGTAATGTCGCAAGAATTGGTCTTCTACATCCGTCTGATTTGCAGTAAATTATCCAAAATTATAAATTAAGAAGAAAAAAATTGAAACCAAATATTTGCCTTTTTCATTTTTACACTTTTAGATATATTAACCCTACACCTGCTGGGGTACTTGAAAACCAGGATTTGCGGGGGAGGGGGTAAATTTAACCCTATCCCTGCTGGGGTACAGGATACAGTAGTTTTAAATATAAATATGGCAAAATAATACATATTGCAAAGCTCATTAATAGGCCAATTCAGATTTGCTAAAAAAAACGGTTTCCCAAAAAAATTTGCAAAAATAAGCAAAAACATAGAGTTATCTAATAATTTCATATTTTGCATTTTTTTTCACATTTTTTATTAGGATTTTATCATAATAAAACTTATCTCAAGATTACTGTTCAACCTTAGAGTTTTAAATTTGCACAGAAATATGTTTTTTTTTGCAAACTAGTTTCATTAACCTTCCCTGGGGTCACGTGAGGTCCCACAATAAATTTGGGTACGATCGGTTCAGCCGTTTTGACGTTTATTGAATACAAACAAACAGACAAGCTAAATTTATATATAAATGTTGGCAAGTTAATCAGTTTCATTTAAACAAGACTTGATCAAAGTAAGGCCGAATAAACAAGCTTAATTTTATTTTAATAGGCTTAGAATACTCTTTCTTAATGCTTTACAGTAAACTGTTTCAATCAAATATGAATATGTACTTAAAGAGTGGAAAGTTTTTTTATTTGACTTAAAAGATGTAATAATTCTGAAGAGAGTTTGTAATTTATGATTTTATGTCTTGGTGAAATATTCTTATTATTATAAATGCTTAATATCTAACTCTTTTAAGGCAATTTCTAGAAGCTTAGCCCTATTCCGACTGGGCTATTTTTGTCCAATGAAGATGAAATAGGGGGGCGGGGATATTTAGTCCAACCCCCCAATGATTTTACCCTTATAGTTGAGATAGGGGAGTATGATACATGTCAATTGTCCTACTTTCAAGACCCAGTGGACTTAAAAATATACAGCTCCAATTTAAGTACTATGGTTAAAAGGGATGTTTTACAATAAATCAAAAAGTACATTACTGGTTTTTAACTACTATAGTAGCAGTAAAATCATATTTAACTACTATAGTAGCAGTAAAATCATATTTAACTACTATAGTAGCAGTAAAATCATATTTAACTACTATAGTAGCAGTAAAATCATATTTAACTACTATAGTAGCAGTAAAATCATATTTAACTACTATAGTAGCAGTAAAATCATATTTAACTACTATAGTAGCAGTAAAATCATAGTTCCATTAAGTTAGCACTTTTCATTCCTGTTTAATTTCAGGAGTTGAAGGAGATATGCTGGCTTCCATAAACCCAGCCAATTTTAATGGAGAAATACCACTTTGCTGCTCAGATGAATCTGTAACTGAATGCAAATCTTTGGAAATGGACCATACAGCTCTTGGTAAAATGGTTCTGACCTTGCCTGATGATATAACTGTTAAATTTTGTAATCTTGTGGGCGGTGATCCTGGCTGTTTTCATTACAATAGTAGTGAAGCAAGTTGTGTTTTAACACAAAATAGAAAAACCAATGCAACTCATGGTCATTGTCAAGTGTTGGCAACTGGTCAGTCATTTACAATAGAGAATTGTGGTCCCAATGGACATGTTTGGAAAAAGTTTAATGTAAATGCTCTTGGTAACATAGATATTGCACTTGATGAAGATCCAGCCGTAGCATTTAGAATAGGACTTGATGAACTGGTCTTAAATGGAACAGTAGACCCTAGTTCATTAGTAAAATATTCTGTAAAGGTTTACTACACAAGAAAGTTTGCTGAAGCAACATCTGATATACCTGGATTCATAACGCAAATGCTTGCAGAAACTAATCAAGGCTATGCTAACAGTCAGGTTTCTCTTCAAGTTTTCCTTCATGGTTTGGAGGAGGCAACAATTGAAGAGAATAGTAATCCTTTTGAACTGATCAAATCCTTTGAAACTATGAAAGGATCAGTTAATGAACTCTTGGGTTGCGCAGATTCTGCAATTCTTTTGGTAACTTCAATGACTTCATGTGGTGCTGCACATTTCAATGGCTTGAAAACTGGAAAAACTTTGTCCGCTACAAGGAAAGATTGTGCTCAAGGGGGTTTTAGTTTTGGACATGAGTTAGCACACAACTTTGGATGTCATCATGATTCTGATCAAATTACTAATCCGTTTTACTCTGATGGACATGGGCATTTAATTGAACAGGGGACTGGTACAACAGGTTATAGAACATTAATGTCATTTAGAACCCCAGGACATGAAACCAGGGTAAACCACTATTCTAATCCTGGAGTAATATATTCAGCAACAAACACTGCAACAGGAGTAGTTGGCTTATCAAATAATGCAAGAGTTCTTACTGTAAATAGACTGGCCATGGCGGCCATAGGTGATGAGAGTCCAACATGTCCGTTTGCTCCTACACATTCAACTGTGCCTACATCTATTTCAACATCCACCACCTTCCTTCCAACTTCAACAACTCAGCCAACATTTCTTCCAGATGAACGGGATACCAGTACTGCCACAAGTACTGGCTCAAGTCCTGGTGAATTATCTGTGACAACAACAAGTCCTCGTGGTGTGTCTAATTCAACATCTTGTTTGGTTACAAATGGACTGCCAACTCTTAGATCTTTAGTACAAAACGGATTTACAAGTCCTGACAGTGCAGATGACTGTGATGATAGATGTGAAGCTCGTAGACATTGTGACTATTGGTCCTACAATTGCTGGACCAAGCAATGCTACATTTGGGGATTTTGCTATGATTTCAATCGACACAATAAGGGATGGTTGTCCGGACCAAGAGAATGTGGAAAAGAACCCGATTTACCTTGTCAACAAGATGGATCAAGAATATCCTTAACATATCGAAGTAAGCAAGCTGAAAATCTTGAGGAATGTGTAATACAATGTTTAGATTCTAATACATGTGAATATTGGGCATTCTATGACGGATATGCACAGAGCAATTTCTTTAGATGCAGATTGTATTCACTCATAAAGCCTGCAATGGGATGGTCATCTGGGCTATACATATGTTAAACCATAATTTACAAATGCTTGTTTTAAGATATAAAGACTTATTTTATAGTGTCAAAATTATATACAAAAAAACCCTAAAAGTTATTACATTATTTTAATTGTGTAAAGAGTTTTTAATACATAAATATATATTTATTGAAACCCTATCCCTACTTTGGTACTTGAAAACCAAGATACATGGGGGGTCGATTTGACCCCTCCCCCAGCTAGCATATCCCATGTTTGATGTTCAATTATGACAATTGATACATCATTAAAAGCTCTTGTGCTCGTCTTTTGAAATCTGTAAAAAGTTTTTTGCAAACGAATTTAATCTTTGCCACAAACTCTGATTTTTGAAACACAATGTTGCAGACTTTAATATTTTAAACTATGAATTCTGTTGGATCAAATAATCTAAGTTACAATCTAAACTTTCTAAGAGAGATTGTCATTGGTATCAGGGTGTTCCTTTCCTAGGGGGTCCATCTAAATCATCCTGAACCTACCCAAATGAAGCTAAGGCTAGAAGGTTTTATTAAATTTGATTCAAAATTACTGCAGACAGTGATATGTGTAACTCAATGCAGCTGATAAAGGGAAGTTCAGGTTCTCATTACAACAATGTCTGCAATAAACCTGCATAGATACTATAGGAATTGAGTTTTGTCACAAAGTCTGATTTTCTAATCTCTAAATTATCTTTGCAATCTAATATTGTGGACCTTAGATATTTCAAACTATGAAGACTCTTAGATTAATTAGTAAAAAGTTTGAAATATTAAATGTTTATACTATGTTAATACTACATATTTCCTGGTCAGCTATCGAAACTGCATATTAACCATCCTGGGGGGGGGGGGGGGGGGGGGGAGAGGTATGAAATAATAAGTCGGTTTTGACTTGTTTTAAGTTTTAGGAGTACCTGCACAACACTGCCAGAGAAAATGGGTAGAGAATAATGATAGCTAAAATATGAATTTTGAAACAAAAATTTTGTAAAAAAAAAAATTCTTAAACAAAATACAGAATATGATCAATTGTCCTGTTATTTAAAAATCTGGAATAAAAAAAAAATCTAAAAACTAAATTGTTTATGCATTATTGAAAATTATTCATTGCAACACTATCCACCCCTCCCCCATCCTCCAATGTTTTTCTGTCTTGTTGCAAAGATACATATAGGGATTAGACGATTTGAGTTTGTGATAATGACATGATTCCTGTTATCCAGCTTACTACCTGGGTAGGGAGCATTAGGTTAAATGGTTGGTTTCTGCCTTATAGAAAGGGAGCATTAGATTAAATTCTTGTTTTCTGCCTTGTAAAAAGGGAGCATTAGACATAATAATTGGTGTCTGCCTAATAGAAAGGGAGCATTAGACATAATGATTGGTTTCTGCCTTATAAAAAAGGGAGCATCAGACATAATGATTGGTTTCTGCCTCAGAGAAAGGAAGCATTAGATTTAATGCTCATTTTCTGCCTTAAAGAAAGGGAGCATTAGGCTAAATGCTTGTTTTCGGCCTTGTAGAAAGGGAGATTTCGGTTAAATTCTCGTTTTCTGCCTTTGTAGAAAGGGAGCATTTGGTTAAATGCTCGTTTTCTGCCTTATAGAAAGGGGGCATTAGGTTAAATGCTTGATTTCTGCCTTATAGAAAGGGAGCATTAGGTTAAATGCTTGTTTTCTGCCATATAGAAACCGCTCGTCTCCCAATCCTCTGTCTGTGCGTAAAACAGTCCTAGAAACCATTAATTTCGAGTTTTCATTTTATTGAAATTGCTCTGCTAAGACTTATCTTTTTAGTAGCTATCAAAAGAGTTTATTTTTCGCCGTAAGTCTATATATACCCCCCCCCATCATTTTTCGCGAATACTCCCTTTAAAGGCTAAAGTTATCTAACTCTAACCTAGATATACAACAAAACAAGAGATATGCAAATTGTGTGTTTTTCAGCTATTTTAATATTGATAAATATAAAATACATTGCCTACAAGGCCGGATGTATATATAAATATACATTGCCTACAAGGCAGGGTGTATATAACGTATGTATATTATATATATATATGTTCTCCAACTGCGAGCAATACTATCTGTCAACTTAATCAAATCAACAAGATGTATTTCTGCGGACAAGTTAAGCATAAAAAGTACAGCTTAACCGTGTAAATGCTGGGGGTTCTGAATCTTTATTTAAAGGTAAAGGTTTGAAATGCATGTTCATAGCCCAATTTATCATGGCCAGCTCATTGAAAAAAATTAGATCGATAACTTTTATAGTTTGGGTGCCAGGGAGGGTTGAAAAAAATGTCAAAAAAGGTGAAAAAAATATTTTTTTTGTTTAAAGCAAATATCAATGTGACACATATTTTTACATCCATTTTTAATGTGCTTTTTAAAAATATATTTTTTAGCTCTGTAGCTTTAGTCATAAAAAATTATGGGCTATTTTTATTTTTTTATACACTCCAGACTTTTTACCGCCCTTTACCTACCCTGTGCATAAAAAAATTACAAAAAAAACCTTTTGAATTACTATTTTTTAAAAGTAAAATAATTTCACAGTGNCTGTGTAGTTTTGTAAGAAAAACAATTGGGCGACTCTTACCCGAAAAATCTGCAAAAGTTTCCGATTTTTCACGAAATTTTACATCAATCTGTATTGCAAAGAAATGCGAAATTTTCATATTTTTTTTATGCGAAACAGATTAATTTGTCTATTCTAGTTAATCTTTATTCATCTTTAGTAATCTAAATTGGTATATCTCAGAATCAAAAAAACAAATCCATATAATATTTTGCATAATATTCAACTGTTGAATATCTAATTATAAATGCTAAATGAGACATTTAATGGTTAAAAATCCATTTTATCAATGGATTTCTCTACCTGTCTAAACTTCAATAATTCAAAACCAAACAGTTTTCCGCAACTAGAGGCAGAATTCAAAGAATTTGAGCCTAGGCTTCAGTTTAAGCCGGGGCTCAAATATGGTTGGTTCTACATAAAACTGTTTTGAATATGTTAAGATTTAGGCGGGCGCTCAATTGAAACCGGGGTACAGTGATTTGAGATGCGGCTTAAATTCATTGAATTTTCACAAATAGGAGGATTATATTAAAAAATATAAAAGCTGCGATGAAATATTTAAATTTTAATGAATTGTCTAAAGAGCTCAGAGACATCATGGGCAAAAGAATAGGCCTTTAAATTTTTCTTCTCGGAAGGAATTAAAATATTTCATTAATTCTGACAAGTATGTAAAAGATATAGAAACCATTCAGATAAGCAAATTACTTGATCATCTAATCCTTAATTCTGAAGTTTCTCGGCCCAGGAATATATCTGTCTCCAGACCAGCTCAAGAATCACAGATCTCTTCTAAATCTTCTCTGCAGAAAAAGATTTCTTTGGTTGTTTCCGTCCTAAATAATGACAAATTAGGTTCAGATTCTATAAATACTGACATTACAGATCTCTTACCAGCGCCTGGTAATCTTGAGTTACAGGAGGAATTTCATCCTGTAACTACAGATGAGAGATACCAACCTTCCATTAAGTCTAAACCCTGGAGCAATTTGCTAACTCAGGCCAGGGCAAGATTAAGCCGGAAAAATTGATAATTTTCTGCAAATTTTTATTTCTCATCCTTCGCCACCCACCGAAATTTTATCCTGCCTAAATCCCATGTGTATCTAATTACAATGTATAAAAACTTTATCTGTGATCAATTCTTTATCCTCCCTGCATGCATGTTACATGTCTAGTGACCCAAAAACCCCTANATTTAATTTTCTTGCTTTATATATTTTTTTCATTTTTCTTTCCTGATAATTAAATAACATGCAGTTATTTTTGCCCCTAGATCCCCAGGGTGTAACAAAAATGTATACATTGTTCGCTTAAATCAGTCACAAGAACTTGTTCTCAAGAAATTCCCCGGAAATTCCTCTAAGCAAATCACCAAAACTGGAGAACTTGGGAGTAATTCCTCACTTTTGTTACCTAATAGGAGAAATTTCAGCATCAAAAGATCACAGCTTTCCAACGTAAAAATTCAAATAACTTTGGATAAATAAAAATCTTGGAACAAGAAATATTTAAACTACCGCAATCTTTGTTTTTGTAAAAAATATGATGTATTACAGACTGAAAAAGACAAAGTATGCTTCAAGTCCAAATCTATATAATAGTTTAATTATCACTAATATAATTAATAGAAATAAATTGCATAAACTCAGCTAGTCGCCAGTTTAAAATACTTTCATCCCTTTGTAATATCTTATTCATCTTTAATTTTTTTGTCAGAAATACTTTCAATTAGATGAGATTTTATATCACATAAATTTATGAATGACATGAATATTTGTCTTATACTTGTGTTAAAGAGAAGTTAACATTACAAACTATTTTCAATTTTTTTGTTTGAANCAAAAAAAAACAAAAGCTGAGAACGCTTTCTTAAAAATATTGGAACGATTAGTAAAAGAACGGAACGGGAATTGCTTGAAAAGAAAAGTTAAAATCGAAACATAAGCAAATCTTTGCGCAATTTTAGCACAATTTTAGTGCAAAAATTTTTGACTGGAAATCCTAATTGTAAAGAAAAACTAAAACTCCAGGATTCATTTAATACCAATCAGACATTTTTAAGGTGCACAATTTTTAAATTAGACGGAAAAGTTGTTTGTAATATTTCACTGGTTGTTTCAGTCAGTAGTTCAATGCCTTATAATTTAAATTATCGTTACCTTTGTTGTTGAAAATCCAAGCAGATCACTTTCTGATTCATTTACATTGTTTCCAACATTTTTTTCAATAAAATTTTTTTACTAAAACGTTCTACGGTCCCATCGTGCAAGATTTATGACAAAATTCCAGTCTGAGCGCATTTTTGCCGCAGCTAATTCTCTCTTCCGGTGTCTTCCATTTTTACTCTTAAAATAAAGACTTTAATTAATAAGGATTAAATAAATTTCACATTTCTCTTTTTAAAAAAAAAAAAATGAACCTATTATTTGTATTCAATAAAAACCACAGTAAATTTTTTTTTAGGCGAAAGAAGGAAGAAAAGTTAAAGAGGATGAACGAAAAATGGATATGGTTTTCAATCCTTGTGATGGTTATGAAATCCCTATCTTCCGTGGAATGGGAAGA